AATAGGGAATGGAGATAACTCAGATTATGACCAGAACTTGATATTGGCTTCCCAGTACTCTACTTCCAAGGATTCTTAAACATTTTTCCGCAAAAACTTTCACAATGACAGAGAAACATTTCCCTTTTACCCAAACATGCTGCACAAATGGTTAACAGGTCTTACTGAGATCTAAATTTTTTCCATATTGCTAGAGAAAGGCTGTGAAGTCAAGAGGAATACCACATGGTGTGAGAAAGAAGGGATAAGGAACAGAACAAAAAGATTCCACTCCCTGGGGGTGGGAAGGAAGGAAGGGAGGGAGGGAGGGAGGAGGGAAGGTAGGAAAGAAAAGGAAAAGGGAGAAAGGGAGAAGGGGGGAGAGGGAGGTAAGAAGGAGAAAAGAAAAGCAATAATTCTCCCTGACTCCTATTGCCATTTCAATGAATGTAAACAATGAGCTCATCTATCTAACCACTATTTGCATGTCTCCTAGACCTTCTAAGTTGAACCTGTACTAAATTAAAATCATCTTTCTCCTAAACCATCTTTCTGTATTTCTACTTTAAGTAAGAAGCATGCCATCTATACAATCTACCTAAGACTGAAATCCAGGAGTCATCTTTAACATCTCTCATCCTTTACATCCCGATGTCTAAGGATTGTCTATTTTACCCCTTAAAAACTTAAAATTTTAGTTTAAGTTCTCATTATCTCCAACCTGGATCATTACAACAATCTCACAACTAGTCCTTTGGTTTCTGTCAATCCCTGTTTCAACTAATCCTTTCCAAAACAATCAGGATGATCTTCTAAACTACAAATCTGATCACATTATCCACAGGATAAAGTTCAAACTCCTTAGCACAGCACACAAGATCCTTCATAATCAGCCCTTTGCTCCCTTGCTTACCTTATCTATTACAGATTATTATTCTGAACTTTAAACTCTAGTAATATTACTCATAGTTTGTTAAACATACTATTATTTCACACTTGAACTTATATTCTATCTCTTACCCATTTCTTGGAGAACTTTTTTTTTAAGTAGGTTCCACGCCCAGCATGGAGCCCAACATGGGGCCTGAACTCACAACCCTGAGATCAAGACCTGAGCTGAGATCAAGAGTCAGACACTTAACCAACTGAGCCATCCAGGTGCCCCTTGTCCATTCCTTGAATTCCTATTTATCCTTCAAAGTTCAGCTCAGAAATAATCTCCTCAATGAAGCTTTTCCAAAACCACTGTCCCCACCCCTAGATCCAAGTTTATCTGTTGCTCTTCTTTCTTCTATTTAGCTTTTTTTTTTTTTTTAGGAGAGAGAGTATGCAAGCAGGGGAGGGGCTGAGGGAGAGGGAGAAAAGAGAACTCTAAGCAGGCTCCCTGCTCAGTGCAGAGCCTGATGTGTGGCTCAACCTCACAACCCTGATATCATGACCTAAGCCAAAATCAAGAGTCAGATGCTTAACTGACTGAGCCACCCAGGCATCCCTCATTCTGTATCTTAATTATTTATCTATTTCCCCTATTTGTCTGTGAGCTTTTTTTTTTTTTTTAAGAAGCTTCTTTTTTATTTATTTGAGAGAGTGAGTGAGTGAGCACACAGATGGAGAGGGAGAGGGAGAGGGAGAAGCAGACTCTCCACTGAGCAGGGAGCCCGACATGAGGCTTGATCCCAGGATCCTGGGATTATGACCTAAACCAAAGGCAGACACTTAACTGACTGAGCCACCCAGGTGCCCCTGTCTATGAGCTTCTTAAGGGCAAGGTCATCTTTTTTTTTTTTAATATATTTTTTAAGATTTTATTTATTTATTTGACAGAGAGAGACACAGCGAGAGAAGGAACACAAGCAGGGAGTGGGAGAGGAAGGAGCAGGCTTCCCATGGAGCAGGGAGCCCGATGCGGGGCTCGATCCCAGGACCCTGGGATCATGACCTGAGCCGAAGGCAGATGCTTAACAACTAAGCCACCCAGGTGCCCCGGTCATTTTTTCATCTTTGCATCTCCAATGCATAGCAACTGGCACATCGATGTTCTCAATATATGAGATTGTGAGATCTATCTCCATTAGCAGAACTGTTGTCAATTTGTGATTTATTTATACATATGATAAATATTAAGATAGGCTAAAAGTCTTATTCTTCATAAATATTTTTGTGATTCTTTTTGATTGTATCTTTAGAAACATCTGTATCAGTAAATTCTTTATACTTATAAACAAACTAGCCATAAAGTTATACCTTTATTATTCCTCCTTAATTATTTTCTCTCTTCTTTCCAATTCATTCTGACCCACCACCCCAGCTACTAATACTTGGTGATACTTCCAATTTCTCTCCCCCTTGCAAGGAAAAAAAAACAAAAAACCTCTTCTGGGCTCTAAGCTATAGAGCCTCGTATTAGGCTCACATCTCTCAAAGGGAAGGTCTTATTTATCTTTATACTCCTATCACCTACTGGCCATGCTGGCACATTGTGTGTGATAAAATCTTGTTTGTTCAACTCAAATGTCAACTAATGAGTGGATAAGTAAAATGTGGTATGAGATAGAATATTATTTGTCAACAAAAAGAAATGACATACAAACACATGAATCTTAAAAACATGCTCAGCGAAAAGAAGCCAGCCACAAGACTATGTATGTATGTATGCCATTTATATGTAATGTCCAGAATAGGCAAATCTATAGAGACCGAACTACTATAGCAGTTTCCAGAGGCTGGAAGTTAGGAGGTAATGGAAAGTGACTGTGAATGGGGATGGGACTTTTTTGGGGGGTGATGAAAATATTCTAAAATTGGTTGCGGTGATGGCTGCACAACTCTAAATATACCCCAAACCACTGAATTGTATAGTTAAATGGGTGGATTATATGATCTCAATAGAGCTATTAAAAAAAAAAAGAGAAAAAAAATCTTGTTTGCTTTTGCTACAGAGCTGAAAAGGGGTCAGAGATAGAACATACAAGTGTACAATGGAGACAACAGACAAGTTTATTTAACAGACACCCCTCACTAGGGTTGGTACAGCCTGTTGGGCGAGTGAATCTTTGACCATTAGTGCATACTAAATAGCCAGTGTGTACTAGAGAGGAATGTGGAATAAGTAGGAAGTCACTCAACTGATTTGTGACATGAATACATGAAGCAAAGTAATTTAAAGCATTGAAATTCCTCAATTCTAAGGACCAAGAAATTTAAGTCTTTTAAGATCCCATTCCACTAAGCTGGCCTTTGCTCTATCCCTGGCTATTGTGACTGGCAACAAGTATCAACTACTTGGTTATAACCTGTCCTACTCCAAGAATGATTGCTGAATTGGTGCTTATCACCATATCTCCTTAACCTGAATTCTCTAAGAAGCATTCAGAAATTAACAATGGCCTGTTTTATTTACTGCCGAGTCATTTTCTGAGTATACTTGCTACAGTGAATAATGGTCCCCTAAAGACATCTACATGTTATTCTCTAGAACCTGGGACTATGTTACCTTACATGGCAAAAAGGGCTTTGCGGATATGATTAAATTAAAGGATTTTGAACCAGGGTGATTATCCTGGATTATTCAGGTATGTTCAATGTAATCACAAGGGTCTTTGTAAGTGAGAGGCAGAAAAGTCAGAATCAGCAGAGATGTGATAACAGAAGCAGCAGTAAGAGTGGTGTGATTGCTAGCTGGCACCATGAGCAAAGCAATGGGGACAGCCCCCTCAAAGCTGGAAAAGACAAGAAAACAGATTCTCCCTTAGAACCTCCAGCCCTATCAACACTTTGATTTTAGCCCTCTGAAACCCATTTCAGACTTCTGACCTCCAGAACTATAAGATAATATATCTGTACAGTTTTAGGCCACTACAGTTGTGGCAATGTGTTAAGCAGCAATAGGAAACTAACACACTTGCCCCTACCATCAATATCATCATCAATATCAGGCCTAAAGCATATGTCTCTTGCTGGGGGAATCCAGTTGTTTTTATTGCTCAAGATAGAGTACTGATTTGGAACAAATGTTAATTGTGTCAGAGTAAAAATATTTTTCCCTTTGCACTACATGAAGCTCCAGAACTAAACAGTGGAAACTGCAGTTTGATCAACAGCTAATGGTCAATATAGGTAAAGAAAACACAGAAACATACAATCCTTTCACTGGAATTTTAAAACATGGATTTCATAATAATATTATATATCAATAATAACTTCAGGGGCGCCTAGGTGGCTCAGTCGTTAACCGTCTGCCTTCGGCTCAGGTCGTGATCCCAGAGTCCTGGGATTGAGCCCCGCATCGGGCTCCCTGCTCAGCGGGGGGCCTGCTTCTCCCTCTCCCACTCCCCCTGCTTGTGTTCCCTCTCTCGCTGTCTTTCTCTCTCTCTCTCTCACTGTCAAATAATTAAATAAAAAATCTTAAAAAAAAATAATAACTTCAATTGCTTATGTGGTCTTTGACATGTTCTTTAGGAGAAGCTTTAAGAAGTGTACCAAACTGAGGCAGGATGAGCAGTTTGGAATGGGGTCTTTCATCAAAGGCTTGGCAGTAGTTAGCAAATACAAGATAACGTCCCAGGGTTAAAGGAACACAAGGTAGGCAGTAATAGAAAAAGGCTCTCATCTAAGATATAACCAGTAATAGAGTGAAGGAATGGAGAAAAAAAACAAGACACAGAAAACTAAACACCATGAGACGATACTAAGATCAGAGGACTGCTCCAATTTCTCTATTCCATTAGTTTTAATTTGATCTTTAGCCTAATATACACACAACTTCCAAATTTTCCTAACATCCTTTTTTTTTTCTAACGTTCTTTTTCCAGTTCCAATGTAAAGCTCTTGCAAATGAGCTGTGAGCTACAATTTGATAAGAAAGCATAACATTTCCAACAACTGTGAAAATACTATTCACACTTACTATTCACTCCTTCCATTATTTAAGAAGACTTGTCATACTGATATCATCAATTTTCTATCAGTTTCTACCCTCCCCCTGCCAGGTTAAGTGTTCAACAAAGAAATCTCTTCCTTACAATTGCACATCGTGGCATTTTTGAAGAAATTCCATCTTCTTCTGTTGCCCCATTGGGTCCAGGTACCTCTTTTCTCCTCTTTCTTGTGTTCATTTTGGCTGAACTCTGTGCATCCATCTTCTTTTAACTGGTCATAGAAAGTGAAAAAGAATTTTTTCTCATTGAAATGGAGAAAAAGTCTGTCACCAGTATTTCAGAGATGTTAACATGGATACACTCAGCAAAAGATCAATTCCATAGCACACATTTCACAAGATGAGCCAATTGCATCTGGCAAAAACAACAAAGCTTCAATAAACACATGCTCTAGTAGAAACAATGAAATGCCTCTCTGGAACAATGGCCACAATTAATCATCTGACCCTGGAAATTATTACCCTGACCAATATAGCCTGTATACCAACTGCTAATTTCATATCCTGACTGAATGTAAAAGATTTGAATAACTTGGCTGAGAAAGTTATACAGACTTTTACCACCAACCTTATAACATCCCTGGGACATCTGGAGATATAACAAGTACAAGGAAATGTAAAAAGTACGTTTTTGGCGCAGATGGGGAAAAAAAGAGCTTTTTAAAAAAGAGACAGCCATCACCAATTCCTGGTTTAACAAAGCTGGATTTTTTAACTCTAAATGCTCTGTAGGTTTCAGAGACCACTCCACAGGGTTACATCTATTAAAATTGTGAAGTTTTCTATATCTTTTAATGTCCTTCCTCTTCCTTTTCCAATACCCATTTCCCTGTCCTCTTTCAGAGTCAGCACCTTAAGCCTGTTCTGAGCCCCCTACTAATAAAACCCCACCCAAGCTTCTCCTTCCCCAGTGAAAACTTTGTTACTGTTTCACTTAGCAGAGAGCTTCTAGCACGAGCTACCACAGAAAAGTTCTGAATATTTGATGTTTCATTTAGATGTTGGCTTGTGCTACTTCTCCAACTCCCTGTAAGGTTATCTGCATTTTTCTTGGGTATCATAATTTGCACAAATAAGTTAATTTAATAATGATATGATTTTAGGTATCAGCCAGAAATTGGGGATAGAAGAACTTTAATGATCAATTGCCATCTCTGCCAAGACATGATTCCATGAACGGTAGAAGATCCTTAGAGCAGAAATGAAAAACAAAACAAATGCCAGACAGAACGAGGACATTATACTCTGCCTCACTGCCTCTAATAACCTCTCCTGAATAAAATGTTCTTCTAAACAACTGCAATTGTGCCTCTCTTTCCTCTGGCTAAAGTGGCAAGGTCTACAAGACACCTGACCTAATTCTTAGAAACTGAAGGTGACACCCATGAGTCCTGGCTAAGTATTAGGCTGACATGAAAAATGTCAGAGTCTAAAGTGAAAGATGAACACCACCCAGAAACGTCCTTTCATCACAAATGCAAATTAAAATGGAATAAGGAATACATTTAACAAGTTTTCCAGTGATGATGAGAACTTTTCTTCATTATTGTTATTAATTTCTCTTTGTAAATATCCACAGGTTGTATTACTACTCCCACCTCACTGGTCTGAGAGGCCTACTAAAAACACCTAATCAGAAGTGCCAAGGCACAGTCAGTTAAGCGTCTGCCTTTGGCTCAGGTCATGATCCCAGGGTCCTGGGATCAAGCCCCACGTCAGGGTCCCTGCTCAGTGGGGAGCCTGCTCCCTCCGCCTCCCTGCTCATGCTTTCTCTCACATGCTCTCTCCCTCAAATAAAAAAATCTTAAAAATAATAACTTGGGGCGCCTGGGTGGCTCAGTCATTAAGCGGCTGCCTTCAGCTTAGGTCACATTTCAAGAGGACCTCAATTCAGCTGAGGAAACCACATGTTAATGATACAAAAATGCTCCTTAGGATTCTAAAATCACTGGGGGAAAGTTTGTTAAACAAACAGGATATTTACACAGTTTCAAAGAATCACCAAGTATTTTGAAGTAATCCTCATAGATTACTTATTAATTACAAAGGGAAGAGTTACCTTTAAAGTGAAAAAAATCTCTTAGCTAAGTGATCAAAGTTAATTAACATCACCAATAATGCCTCCTGCTGTGAGGCACTGAGGACACATTACCTGCCAAAAAAGCATACTGTGTATGGGTTTATGAGGAACAAGCAAACAAACCTCAATTAAAGGACATTCTATAAAACAACAGGCCTGTTACTCTTCAAAAAATGTCAATCATGATAAACAATGAAAGGCTGAGGGATTGTTCCAAAGAAAAGACAACTAAATTTCATTTCTAGATTGGGGGAGAAATTGTTATAAAGGATAGTTATTAAAACAATCAGTAAAATTTGAATATGGATTGTGTATCAAATCATAATACACATCAATGTTAAAATACATTTGATAACTACACTGTTATGTAAAAGACTATCCTTGTTTTTAGGAGATAAAAGCTGAAGTACCTGGGGATAAAGGGTCATGATTTCTGCAGCTTACCCTCAGCAGAAACAGAAGCAGCAGCAGAAGTAGCAGGAGAAGAAAAAGAAGAAGGAGAAGCAGAAGAAAAAGAAGAAGGAGGAGGAAGAGGAGAAGCAGAAGCAGCAGCAGAAGTAGGAGAAGCAGGAGAAGAAAAAGGAGAAGGAGAAGCAGCAGAAGAAGGAGGAGCAGAAGCAGCAGCAGCAGCAGCAGAAGCAGAAGCAGAAGAAAAAGGAGGAAGAGGAGAAGGAGAAGCAGCAGAAGGAGGAGAAGCAGCAGCAAAAGAAGGAGAAGCAGGGCGCCTGGGTGGCTCAGTCATTAAGCGTCTGCCTTCGGCTCAGGTCATGATCCCAGGGTCCTGGGATCGAGTCCCGCATTGGGCTCCCTGCTCGGCAAGAAGCCTGCTTCTCCCTCTGCCTGCCGCTCCCCGTGCTTGTGCACTCTCTCTGATAAAATTTAAAAAAAAATTTTTTTTAAATGTTCTATAACAATTTTCCACACAGGCAGGCTCTCATATAAGCCTGTCTTTCAGGTTCTCTAGAAATTGATTCCTTCTCTTTCCTAATTCTTTGAATTAGCATGAATGATACAAATATTCCAAGAAGTTTATCTTGCAAGGAAGTAAGATCGTAACAGCAACAGTCATAATAATGGCTCTCTTTCTTTGAATACTTACTATGCTAGGCACTTAATATACATTATTCTCATTTAACCCATATAACCTGAGATGCAGGTATTATTAGCCCCAACTTACAAATGAGAAAACTAAGGAACAGGGACGTTAAGTAAGAGATCCAAGAGATCACAAAGCTAGCCATGGGAGAACCAGGATTTAAATCCAGACTTGTCTAATGCCAAAGTCGTTACCACTATATTTTTCTGTCTCCCAGAAATCCAAGATTTGTAAAAAGAAGCTGTCTCATCATCAATACTGCTGCTTCCTTCTGTCAAGAACATTCCATGGCATGGGTCCCTTAAGTTCTTGCAGACTTAAGTAAGTCCTAACTGCACAGTAGAATAAAAGGTCACAGTTACTTAAAGGTAAACAAGGTCTCAGGACCAGTCGAATAGAACTGATGTGGCTATTGGCCTGATTCAGTCAGTCCAATTTGTCAGCTGTACAGATGTGTAGATCTTTCCTATTGGATAGTTTTGCTAGGATTTTCTTATAAACTTCCAACTTAAGCAATAAAGATTTCTTTAATCTCAGGATGCCAGGATGGCTCAGCCGGTTGAGCATCTGCCTTCAGCTCAGGTCGTGAACCCCGGGGTCCTGGGATCAAGCCCTGTGTTGGGCTCTCTGCTTGGTGGTGAGCAGGTTTCTTCCTCTCCCTCTTCCTGCCACTCTGCCTATTTGTGCTCTGTCAAATAAATTTAAAAAATCTTAAAAAAAAAAAAAAGATTTCTTTAATCTCTGTTCCTCCCTCTTCTGACATTACAAACAGGTGTCATTGTAAAAGCACCTGTACTTTCCACTCGTGATATAAAACAGTTTTAAGGGTGCCATAATAAATCAAGGGAATAAATGTCATATCGTATTTTCAACAATTACTTTCTATAAGTTCAAGTTAAAATTCCTTAATGTTTAATAGAAAAATACTTAACACATCCAAAGACATGTTTATAGGAATTTCTTCAGAAGTCTTTGTTCTGGGGTGCCTGGGTGGCTCAGTCAGTTGGGCGGCTGCCTTCGGCTCGGGTCGTGGTCCCAGGGTCCTGGGATCGAGCTCCGTGTCAGGATCCCTGCTCTGTGGGGGGCCTGCTTCTCCCTCTCCCTCTGCCTGCTGCTCTCCCTGCTTGTGCTGTCAAATAAATAAATAAAAAATATTTAAAAAAAAAAAAGTCTGCTCTGTGTGGGGGGTGGAGGAGTGGAAAGGTATGTGTGCTATAATATTTTTATTGCTTTATTGAAGTATAATTGACATACAATAAACTGTATTTAAAGTATAACTTAATGAGTTTTAACATAACTATACATCTGTGAATCATCAAAATTAAGAGAATCAACATTATTATCATTCTCAGGTTTCCTCATGCCACATTAGAATCCATCTCTTCCTCCCTGACTTCAACTTTGCTTTACTTTTTTGTCTGTTTTTTTTTTTATACTGTGGGAAAATGTATGTAACATAAGATTTGCTTTCCTTTCTAACTGCTTACTTCTTAAAGTACTGAACCATCTTATCATATGATTCAACTTAACTAGACAAACACATGGTGGATAATATCGAACTAGAAAGAAGCAAAGGCTCTCCTTCTAAGAGTTAAAATACTGCCAGTGTGGTTTAAATATATTCGAAAGCCAAACTGGTATCTGGGGTAATTGGACCTCATGATATCCATTCTATTCCACTAGATTAAAAAATCATACAAAAAATATAAAGTATCACAATGAGGACTCAAGGCAAGAGAAAGAATTTGTATGATTAGCTAAAGCTAAAGTAAAATTCACAAACATAGAAGGAATCATGTGGTTACTGTGGTTACAGTGGTTACTTTCATTGCTAACATGTTACAAAGCCCTTTGGTAAATAATAGTAACACTAATACATTTTACTTGTATTTCAATTGAGTACATATAACAAAATCTCTCCATCTGCCTTATATAAGCACTTTTAATCAAATGTCTAAGGCAGTGTTTCTCAGTATTTTTTATCCATGCTCCATTTTAAGAAATACAGAAATTTTGGGGTGCCTGAGTGGCTCAGTCTGTTAAGCCACTGCCTTTGGCTCAGGTCATGATCCTGGGGTCCTGGGATTGAGTCCCGCATCTGGCTCCCTGCTCAGCGGGGAGCCTGCTTCTCCCTCTCCCTCTGTCTCCCGGCTGGCTTGTGCTCTCACTTTCTGTCAAATAAATAAACAAAATCTTAAAAAAAAAAAAAAAAAAAGATGGGACGCCTGGGTGGCTCAGTCGTTAAGCGTCTGCCTTCGGCTCAGGTCATGATCTCAGGGTCCTGGGATTGAGTCCCGCATCGGGCTCCTTGCTCAGTGAGGAGCCTGCTTCTCCCTCTCCGTCTGCTGCTCCCCCTACTTGTGCTCTCTCTCTCTCTCTCTGACAAATAAATAAAAATCTTAAAAAAAAAAAGAAAAGAAAAGAAAAGAAATACAGAAATTTTAACCTCACTCCATCAGCATAGTGTTATGATTTAAGAGTTCAGGCCCTAAAATCAGATTACCTAAGCATGAATCCCTTCTCCACTACTTACTAGCCACGAGAACTTGGGACAAATTCCTTAATTGCCAGAGTTGCATCACCTAACAAATGAGGTTCAAATGGAGTACTCCATGTAAACCTTAGTTCAGTGCCTGGCACACAGTATTTGTAAGTATTACCTACTATATTATTTAGTAGTAGTAGTTGTCATCATCTGCCTTAAAGCTTGCCTTCTTGTGTATCCCCTATATCCAAAAAGATTTTGTCAAGTTTTCCTCCTAGGATTACTATTATGAAAAGTATACTTTTTTTGGAAAGATTTTATTTATGTATTTAAGAAAGAGAGAGAGAGGGCGCCTGGGTGGCTCAGTTGGTTAAGCGACTGCCTTCGGCTCAGGTCATGATCCTGGAGTCCCGGGATCGAGTCCCGCATCGGGCTCCCTGCTCAGCAGGGGGTCTGCTCCTCCCTCTGCCCTCTTCCCTCTCGTGCTCTGTCTCTCATTCTCTCTCAAATAAATAAATAAAATCTTTAAAAAAAAAAAAAAGAAAGAGAGAGAGAGAGAGAGCATGAGCAGGGGGAGGGGCAGAGGGAGAAGCAGACTCCCCGCTGAGCAGGGAGCCTAATGTAGGGTTCAATCCCAGGACCCTGAGATCATGACCTGAGCCGAAGGCAGACACTTAACTGACTGAGCCACCCAGGTACCCCATGAAAAGTATACTTTAAATGTAAAAATATTAATATTCACAACCCTTTGACATAGACATATTATTTTTATTACTATTTTACACATAAGAAAACTGAGGCACAGATGATAAGGCCACACAGCTAGTAAGTAGTAAAGCTAAGAATCAAATTCAGCCAGCCTGGCTGCGGACTACACACTCCTAATCACTATAGTATATAATATGATACAATACCATACTATTACAAGAAGGTACCTGGTAACTATCTCTAAATATCTGAACGCCTGTCATGCTGGATAGAGCAAATACCCAGACAACAAAAAATAGATCACTGGTTAGAAGAGGCAGAGTTATAAATGTTAACTAAACATAATAAAAACCTTTTTAGGAATAAGAGTTATCTGAAACAGGACTGGGTTACCTCAGGAGGCATTTCATTTTGGCACACCAGGATATTCAAGTACAGGTTCTGTAGAAACACATTTATTCATTTTGTTGGTCATTATCCTGTTAAAGTTCATCTTGGTTGATCTTTTTGCTTATCCAATCTGTTAAAATAATTTCAAATCTTAACTGCCATCTATATAATATTAGCTATTTATCATAATTTTATGTACTCTATAAACTTGGAAAGGTTTTTATGTCTCCATCCAAATCACTGCCGAAAATACTGGTCAGGATAGATGTCACCATACACCAATGTGACCTACCACTAGATCCCTCCCCCACTTAAGATCCACTCTTTTTTTTTTTTTTAAGATTTATTTATTCATTTTATAGCGGGGGGGCAAGGGCAGAGGGAGATGGAGAGAGAAACTCAAGCAGACTCCACACTGAGCGCAGAGCCTGACAAAGGGCTCAATCTTACAACCCTGAGATCACAACCTGAGCCAAAACAAAGAGCCAGACGCCCAACCGACTACACCACCCAGATGCCCCAAGATCCACTTTTAATACTCTAGGTTAGTACAGTGTAAAACACAGTAGAGTTTATCTTTAGAAAACAGAATAGAGGGGCGCCTGGGTGGTTCAGTCGGTTAAGCGGTTCAGGTCATGATCCCAGGGTCCTGGGATTGAACCCGGCATCAGGCTCCATGCTCAGTGGGGAGCCTGCTTCTCCCTCTCTCCTTGCCCTTCCCCTCCATCCCTCCCCACTGCTCATGCTCTCTCGCATGCTCCCTCTCTCTCAAATAAAATCTTAAAAAAAAAAAAAAAAGAATAGAGAATATATTTAAATTTCTTAATGATTAGGGTATTCAATCAGATGTAAATCTGTTTTATTGCATTATCACACAATCCACATGTCTATCACAATATCAAAGATGATGATGATAACAGTGATGATAATAATTATAGCTAACATTTAGCACACTTGCTATGTGCCAGGAAGTTTTAACCTTTGCATATGTTAAATAATTTAATCCTCGCAACAATTCTTAAGTTAGGTAATACTATTATCCCTATTTTGTTTCTTTTTTTTTTTTTTTTTTTAAGATTTTATTTATTTATCTGAGACAGAGAGAATGGGAGAAACAGAGAGCACATGAGAGGGGGGGAGGGTCAGAGGGAGAAGCAGACTCCCTGCCGAGCAGGGAGCCGGATGCGGGACTCGATCCAGGGACTCCAGGATCATGACCTGAGCCGAAGGCAGTCGCTTAACCAACTGAACCACCCAGGCGCCCCTATTATCCCTATTTTGAAGATGAGGAAATAGAGGCACAGCTAAGTTAAATGACTGAGGTCACATACCTAGGACAGGGCAAAAATAGGATTTGAACCTAGGCATTTTGACTCTAGGGTCTGTACACTTAACAGCACCACTATGCTGCCTAGTATATAAAATGGTCATACTTGAATTTAATCAAAACCACATATTACATTGTCAGGAATTTAATTTCACCTTTCATAAACAATGGGCTACCTTCTCACTGGGCCTATCAATGGCAAACTATTCAAGAACTCTAGGGACTTGTTTTGGTTTGGGCCAGAGTAAAAGAGCAGAGAGGACACTAGACTAGGAATCATATCATATAAACTGGGATTTAATTCTAGCTCCTTCTAGTACCTTAACTCTAAGTCTAAAGAGTGATTAAGGAAGGCTCTAATAAAATATACATAATTTCTAAGTCATGCTAAGGATGAAATGAAAAACTAGACTATAAATTTCCTGATGTAGCAGCTATTTGTTGTTTGTCTTCCCACTGTTCAATCATGCTCTGAAAAGAGCCCATTTTCATTTGGGGACTCACTTTCATTTGGTCTATGTAAGCTTCAACCTCAAACCCTAGCATCAGATCACATGTACCAAACTTAAACCAATCAGTGTATCACTCTACTCTGGCCACAGACTGGAGGAGGGGGGGAGAAGGGATGGTAATAGGTGACCTAAGTCAGTCCAATCAGAGTACATTTCAGAACTCACCAGATGGAAATGCTTAGATGAAGATTATCACTTCACTTTGTGGATCTAAACCTAGAGACATGGCTTTGGGAAGCATCCTGTGACAAACTAGTGGCCATCCTATCACCAGGAGGAGAGCCTTTTTTGAAAGCATTGATACAGAGAAAGCAAGCTGATGATGGGGAGAATTCAGATCCTGAACCGTCTAACTGTGCCAACCAATACATTCATTCCCCTTTTTGCTTAAGTTAGTTAAACTGGGTTTCTTATCACTTAGAACCACAAAAATCGTAATTGGTGCATTTAATACCTAGCAATGAGCTCTGGTACAGAGTAGGCACACTCAATTACTATTTGAATAAATATACTAAGTATAGAAAACCACTTTTGAAATTTTGAAAAGCACTTTATACATTACTGTTTTGTTTTGATGGAAAGGGTCAAGTTCTTGTCAGTTTATAAGTGTATCAAAGATGGCACAACAAAGCTCCCATCCCATTAAAACTATTTTTCCTTATCTGCTTACACTATTCCTTATCTGCTTACATACAGTTCTTCTATTT